TTAGATCGCAAGTGGCTCAGATTTGCTAGCTGGTATTATTTAACACTGCTCCAAATGCGCTCAGTATATGCTGTCTTCTTGTCATTTGTGAGGTTTTCTTTATGGCCCAGTTATGTGGTCCTTTTTTTTTTTTTTTTTTTTTTTTTACAGTGAAAAACAGGTTTATTGGAATGTTTTTAGTTATAATCAAAGGCAGAAACATTTAGCTTTTGTCACACCCATAAACATGTGGAAGCTGCTTACAAAGCAATCATATTACAAAAAGAACGACATCCTTGCAGCACGGTGGAATGGTTCTGGATCTTCATTAGCATGATGATTTGGTTCTCTCCATATGCTTTTGGACTCCTAGCCTGACCCCCACTTGATGCAATGATGCAAGAACTTACACCACTAAAAATATTAGTATGAAACATTGTCATTCAGTGTTTGACTGTACACACAAATAATGAACTGGCAAGTATCTAGTTTCAAATTAGATCCTTGGAATACAGCAAAATAGTTATCTTTGCTTTATACAATTATTCAAAGTACATTTTATTGGAAGGGAAGAAAATAATTGGACATTCTCAATGCTCCAATTTGAAGTGATACTTGCCTCTTAGTTTCTTGAAAAAGAAGTTTTGAAAGTTATATACATAGGTTTCATTTAAATTATGCAGCAGTCTATTATTAATAATAACGTCCCAGATCTTGTTTAATGAGGAGCTCCACCATCAGATCAAGTACGGTATTTCATAACTATAAGAATGATGATCACTAGCAAAAGGATAGCAGCAACCAAAGCCATGATGGCTTTTATTTTGCATCCCCGCCACCACATTTGCCTTCGTAGTTGTTTGGATCTGTTGCTAAAAGCAGTTGCATTATCCGATAAGCTTTCTGACTTGTCCTGCAGTTCGTCTAGTCTCTCCCCTCTTTCAATTACTTTTGTGATATTTTCTTGCATGACATCAATAACCTCATCCACCTGATTCTGAACATGCTTGATTTTATCATTTCTAGGTCCAAATCTTGGTCCAGATGGTCCCATTAGAAAAAAGTCCTCTTCTTCATCTGAATCATCTTCCAAAAGATTTCTCCTTTCACTTTTCACAGAACCAGTGACATCATCATCATTTAGGTGGCGCTTAAATTTGGGAGGCATATTTTTTATTCTTGGAGTACTTTTTTATTTCCCAGTAGAGTATTCACCACCCCAACACCTGCTCCTGCCTCTGGTCCTTCGGGTCCCAGGACGCCGTCCTGCGCCGGGCTGCCCCGGGCACTCGTCCCTTCCCAGGGCGCCCCTCCATTCCAATTCCATGTGGTCCTTTTTACAAATGCTTTTTTTAACGTATTTGGTATAGGGTCTCACTGCACAGCTCAGACTTGTGATGCTCCTGTTTTCAGCCTCCCCAGTGCACCACCAAGCCTGGCTTTGGCTGCTGGCTCAGCACATGGGGGATGGGAGGAGATCAAACCCTGCTCCGTGCACTTGCCTTAAGCAGGCACTTAGTCTGCTGATCCATCTGCTGGCCCTAAATGATTCTTTTAAAAGAGTACTTCTGTCTGCCTCTGTAAGGCCGTCTGGACTAGAGTGTTCCCTCTCTGAGAGCGCCTGTCCAGGACTGTTCACAGGGAGCAGGGAGCAGGGAGGGGAACACACGGGGAGGGATCCACATGCGCCAGGGCCCGTTTCTACGTGAACTCTGCTAGTTTTTGGGTTTTAAAGAAGTGGGATCTTTTCTATGTTGCTCAGGCTGGCCTGAAGCTCTTGGACTCATGTGAGTCCTTTGCCTCAGACTCTGGCTCTGCAGTGTTTTAGTAGTTTACTACTACAAAGAAATTAAAGGGGCTGAGGAGATAGCTCAGCAGAAAAAGTGCTTGCCTGGCAAGTACAAGGGACTGAGTTCAATCCCCGGCTCCGCAAAAAAAAAAAAAAAAAAAAAAAAGAAATTAATTGCTTAAGAGGGACAGAACCCCCTCTTTGGTTGCTGTTGACTACTTAAGTTCCTTAACTTCGTGAAACAAGATCATTTTAGAATTTAAGTTATGAGAATAAAATGTAAAGCATGGCTTTTGCACTGCAGATTTATACCAGGGAGTGGTCGGAGCAAAGGTAGCAGGCTCAGTGTGATTTGATACTTTATGACTGGGGGCAGGTTGAGGATTAATTTGTTTGATTCCCCTCTGCTTTCTTCCTTTTCTTCTATCTGGGCATTTATCCTGTTTCCAGGGTACAGTATCTGGCCTTTCAGTGTTTGGATGTGGGGTGATTCTGAAGGGCAGGCTACACCAGACCACATGGGTTCAAATCCTGTTTCCACTGCTTGTTAGCTCTGTGGCTTTGGGCAGTCACTGAATCTCTTCTGTGTCTTGGTTTGCTCATCTATTAAAACTGTAGATTTGTTGTAGGGATTAATGTGTGTAAACACTGAAAACAGCATCTGATACTTATAGATGTATCCAGTATGTTCAATAAATGTAAAATACTATCATTATTACCTTTGGAAAGTGGGAAGCCTGTTTCACATTTTGTATGATATACCAGTTTGGATAAATAAAGAATAAATTTCAACTGCCTGACATTTAAAAAAAGGTCTATTAACTGTCTGAATTCTTTGAATTGCTAAGTATACTAATCTTTTGGGTGTTACTGCAGTGTTCATGAACATTAACTGTTGTTACTGCTTAAATGGTGCTTTGCTCTTGGAAAGGCTGTCATCGATAGATGCTGTCTTAATTCATGTTTGCTGAGATGAGCAGTTCTCCATGTAGATACCTGGTGTTTGGGCTTTATTAAAGTTATAGAATAAAAAGAAGACTGGGTTAATTAAAATTTCTCTGGATTTTAACCTCTAATGTTACATTAATAAGCTTTATTTGGACCTTTGCAGCAGTGCAGCTTGTGTCCAGCTTGGGGTGTGGAACTGGGAGGCTGTGGTCCTGCACGTGTAATGGACTTTGGTTAGAACTCTGTGCCTGTGATGGGTTGATTGTGGTACCAGGGTTGAACCCAGGGCCTTCCTACTAAATTCCAGTCCCAGCCCTTATTAGTTTTCTTTTTTAATGTATTTGGTACAGGGTCTCACTACATAGCTTAGACTGGTAGTGATCCTCCTATTTTCAACCTCCCCAGTGCTGGGATTACAGGCATGTACCACCATGCCCGGTCTCGATGGCCAGCCCAGTGTGCCTGGTGGGTGAAGCTGGCACTGGAACTTTGTTTTTATTTTGAGACAGGTTCTTGCTAGGTTGCCCCAGACTGGGCTTGAACTTGAGCTCTTTGTGTCTCAAGTAGCTACCACGTCCAGCTACTTATTTTAAACACCAGAAGCAGGCAGCACTTAAAAGAGAAAGCTTGATCTGACTACATTAGTTTTTATGATATAAAGAGAGGTGCGTTTTAAGTGCTTAGATACAGGAGCGCAGGATAAGACATAATATCATGCCTTTGCCTAGATCCAGATTATTGCAGATCCAGATTATTACATTAGGCTGTTGAAAACCTGTAAGGGTGATATGGCAGGGAGGGGAATCCCATTGGTTAGCAACTTACAAATTTATACCTTGTTTTTGCTGAGCGTAGCTTTGATTCTGCGTACCTTCAGAAGTATTGATTACTTCTTGGTCCCTACCCACTTGTTAGGTGTGGTCTGGAACTGCTAGGAGAAATGATGCTTGAGGTCGTGGGGAGCTAGGCCGGCACTGGGGGCGAGGGGTGTGAGGAGGGGAAGGGGTTGTGTAGTCACCCAGATGCTGGCTGGGTGTACAAGGCTGACCCTTGCGGTGGCTGCTGGAGCTCCTGCTGGCAGGCGGGTACTGCAGGGGCTCCTGCCACGAGGCTGCTGCACAGCATTCATTGCAGCCAGACAGCTGAGGCAGACTGCAAGTGACTCACAGTTACCTTCTTGAGTAGTGCAGAGGAAGTGCGGGTGTGAGGCACACATTAGACACCCCCGGCACTGTGCCAGGCACCGTAACTCATTCATTGTGGGCTTTCAATGGTTGTCTGTGATTTTCTTTTAGAAAAATGGATAATGGCAGTGGCACCTGCTTACTTGTATGGGTGTTTGGAGGATTAATGAACTAATTATGGTCAATGAAGGTAGCAGCACCTACTGTGGCCATAATTTTTCTTTACTTCTCCAGGGAAGCTTTGGCTTGAGGGAATAAAATCGTGGAAGGAAGATCAGATTGGAGTGGGCGGTCCGTATCGTAGTTCTGTGTTTCTAGTCCAACTGTAGATCAGATTCCTTTCTAGCCTAAAATTTCTTTCTTTCTTTTTTTTTTAGCTGAGCCAAATGTCTGACCTACTCTTTGTTTGAAAAAGAACAGATGCTTCTTCTGTGAACATATTAATACAAATGTTAGTGGTTTCTCCCACTGCAAGGGAAGAAGATGGGTCAGAAGAGAGGGTAGATCCACTGAATTTGTTCTTGTTTTCCTGCTACGGGTGCACTGTTTTCGAGAGTCCCTTTTGTTTCGCTGTTGTTTTTATTTTAGTCAATTTCCTTTGACTAAGAAATTTCATAGAGATCAAACCAAACAGAATAAAAAGTATCAACACCCACAGCAGTTGCTTTAAAGACCAAGGATGTCAGCATGAAATTAAAATGAATAGAATGACATTTCTGCTTTGAAATTTTTCTAATGCTAACTTAACCCAATAGTGAAAACTTCTGACTTCAATTTACAAGGGAAAGCTTGGCCTTTTACAGCGTTTTTAGACTGGAGTGTTCTGGGTTAAAATTTGCTTCAACCTTCTAATGGTTCTTGGGATTTCAGTCAGCCTTGAGTTGTAGCCTAGCGAATGTGTACTCTGCAGTTTTGAGAGACAAAACATCGGAAAAGATGGATGTGCTGTTCCCTCCCACCCATGTGTAACTGTTAAAAAGAGCACTATTGTCATGTGAAGTCTTATTCTTTTGAGCTTGCTTTTGAAGTAACTTTCACAGAGAATTCCTGTTACCTAGACATTGATGACGGACTCACACCATTTCCTTTTTTTTTCTTAGACGTTCCAACCTCAGAGCAGCCTGAACTGTTCCTAAAGAAACTGCAGCAGTGCTGTGTCATTTTTGACTTCATGGACACCCTATCTGATCTTAAAATGAAAGAATACAAGCGCTCCACTCTTAGTGAACTGTTGGACTACATTACAATAAGCAGAGGCTGTTTGACAGAGCAGACTTACCCTGAAGTAGTTAGAATGGTGAGTTCCTTGTTTTCGCCGCTGACACTTTTAAGCATCTTCCGTAGCAACTCACAGGTATATTTATTGCAGAGCGAGGTCACCGGAGGGAGGTGACCTCCACACACGAGAGCCCAACCTCTGAGAGCTAAGCGCAAATAGTCGGCACTAGAGTTGGAAGAGCACGGTTTCATGAGGAAGAAGTCCAGAACTTTTCAACTACAACAGCATTGAAGGAATCAATGACTTCAAAATACGAAGCCACGATTGCCAGGGTATTACTGGATTTTTGGCCTGGAAAAAGAAAAGACACAGGAGAAATCAACAAAAATTTTAGATGTATGTTTGAAAAATATTCCACCTTGTCAGATGTCTTGGTATTTTTTTTCTTCCCCTCCCTGTTCATTGTGGTATATCGGAAATGGGTTTACTTTCGATAAAATTATAATTTGTGGAATGTAGTTAAGGCCTTTCTTGGCTTTGTAACTAATCCTGTTTTCATGATCTCCTTGAAATCATGGGTGATTGCTTTCATGATTTTAGAGCATGATTTTCTACTTTGCATAGCCATTAGGAAGTCTAGGAAAAAGTATTAGCAATTGCTTACTTATTGTGACCATAATTGTGTTTGTTTTTCAGAAGTTGGGCCAGAATATGATCGTTGGGTTTCTGTGAGAGGATTGCCTTTCTTGACTCCTAGCGGATCTGGAGTCTAGAAAGCAAACATCATTTAGGGGTTTGTGGGAGGAGGGGAAATGGATTGCCTCACGTGAAACCAAGCCACGGAGGTCGGGGGTGGGGGTGCATCCCTTAGAAGCCCAGCAGGACAGTGACAGTGGTGTGTTCTGGTGATCATCCATGGAGCTTTTCTGCATAGCTCTCTGTTGTTTGTGTTCAACAGATGCAAAAAAGAGACAATGGAGATCAAGCAGATATGGTCGAAAATGCTAATTCAGATTTGGGGAAGGTCTTGAATTATCTCTACTTGAGAAATAGTTCCCTCGGATGTACATGTGAATGTGTATTGAAGTAGCTAGTTTATAGGAAGGTAGTGCCAGCGTATTCTGTACCCATTATCTTAGTGGCTTGTGAAGAGTGCTCGCAAGGAGCGATTGTGCTTTACAGTGGACGCACTGCAGTGCCTAGATTCACTTTCTTTGGCTATCACAACTGGAGACAGAGGGAGGACACTTCCGTGGGTGCAGGCCAGGGAGGCTGCTACACATCTTCCAGGGCACAAGGCAGCTCCCATGACAGCGATCTGATCTCCATGTCAGCAGTTCCAGTGGGGAAATCTTGCTTTTTGGTTTACCTGCTGCTTTCTTAACCTCTTTGCCTAATACTCTGATCTTCCTTAGTCCCTGTTTCCTGTAGAGCACAGCCCTTGGTTTAGCTTACTGTGTCAACAGAGGTATCCACCATTTCTAACTTCTCAATTGCTGTAAATAATTCAGGTTTGTATGAGCATAAGCAAGTATATCAGTACATTTTTTCTGTTTATAACTATATATTTCATTCTGTAAATGTGCCATATTTAAGCAGTAACCTATGGATAGCCTTGAGTTTGTACTTTATGAGAATATATATTTATTTTTTTAAAATGTATTTAGTACAGGGTCTGTAAGGTCTCCCTACACAGATCAGACATGTACTGATTGATCCTCCTGTTTTCAGCCTCCCAAGTGCTAGGATTACAGGTGTGTGCCACCACACCAGTGTTATATTTACTTTTAAGGATTTTTATAGACCATTTCTATGTTCATAACAAAACTGAGAAGGTGCAGAGACCCCTCGTATATCCCTGTCCCTGCACGTGCATAGTCTCCCCCACTCAGCCTCACCCACACAGTGTATAGTTGTTACCTTGGCCCACCGTCACCCCTGGGCCATAGCTCATGGCGGAGTTGACTCTAAAGAGGTGTGCGTTCTTTGAGTTTGGGGAAAAGCACAGGCTTAGGTATATTCTCATTACCCTGGAAATCGTTTGTGCTGCTTTCCTTTATTGCCAGCTCCCCGGCAGCAGTGCTCTTCTCTGGTCTCTGTAGTTCCGCTTCTCCCAGAATGCCATTTAGTAGCAACCATCCGGTGAGCAGCTCTTTCAGATTGGCAGCTTTTGGTTTTAACATTTTTTCGTATCTTTCATGGGTTGATAATTAAATCATTTCATTAATACTTTATGTGCAGATATACCACAGTTTGTCCACATACTTACTAAAGGACTTGGTGCATCTCAGTTTTTGCAATTGAATATAAAGTCACTGTAAATGTTTATGTGCAGGTTTTTGTGTGGATATAAGTTTTTAGCTTCTTGCATAAATACCAAAGGGTGCAATTGCTGGGCTCCGCACACCCCCAGTTGCTGGATCTTTCTGTAGCAAGCGTGTTAAGCCTTGTAAGAAGCTGCCACACTGTCTTCCAGAGTGGTTGAGTCAGTCTGCATTCGCGTTTCCAGTGGTGAGAGCTGCCATTGCTCCACCTGCTCCCCAGTACTGTAATTGGCGCTGATTTATTTTTTAGTAGCCCGCACCCTGTTCCTAGACCTTCACGAATCCCTGGCAGCTGTCTCTAATCCTCACTTCCCTTCAAGGGCTGGTTTAAAGTCCTGTCACTGTTAACTGAAGAACCCTGGTGCTTTATCCTTCCTTCATGTCCTCTGCTTTTGGCAACCTGCAGTTTTGGAATTTGCTTACTACTTTTTGTCCTTTCACATGTTTACCAGAGTTTTCTAATTAGATGATAAGTACTTACCTGCTTCTCACTGTGGCTTCCTCTAATGATGCCTGGTGTAGGCCTAGCTGAAATTTGCTGAATAAATTCCTCTTGTGGGTATTTTATATGATTAAGATATTGGATGCCATTGGACTAATTCAGTTTTTGAACCCAGCTTTACCACAATCCCCCTTTCTTATGACTCAGCTTGGTCCTGAACCAGCTGTACTCTCATAATGTACCCAGTAGTAGCCATGTTTTCATCTCTTTAGTTCCTTCCCCTCCCACAGCCAAGAACAGCAGCAACAACAAATTCCTGATCGTTGTATGGGTTCAAAATATGGTTAAGTTGTACCTCAGGAAGTCTCGGACCTATGGCATACACGCTGTTCTGCATTAGAACGTTAACTTTCTAGCTGGTAGTTTGGAGTTCTTAGAAGCATATTTACTTTTTATATTTATGATTTATAAAAGTGTTAAGCTACTAATTTTGTATGGCATGGTGCTTTTAAAGGCACAGTTTAAAGGAGTTAGTTTGAGTTCAGAGAGAAAGAAGTGTGCCTACAAGCTTGTTACCTGGGGTCACACTGGCCTGGATTCAGGGCCCACTCTGGTCACATTTATTTATCACTGTGAATGAGTTGTATCTTTGGGGCCCTCAGTACTTGTGTGGTGCCAGGAGGTCCACAGGCTTGGGGTCGGCATGGCCGCTGTCTCTGCCCCTTACTCCATAAATGTCCTGCCTTAATAAAAGCAGTTTTGACTTTGTTCACATATTGGGGTTACCCTACCTTACAAACACACACTGTAGTTGCAGTGGGTCTTGCGCTCTGTGGAAGACGTGGAATCACATCTCCTTGTGCTTCTAAGCCTCTGGCAAATGGAGATTCTCACAGCACTCGCTGTCCCCACCCATGTGACACCTGTCTTTAGGGTGTTGTGCAGGTCAACAAAGGTGCTGAACTTCTTAGAACACATGGAGGTGTTCAGTAAATAATGCCGATATGTTTAGGTGATTTTGTTATTAGGCAGTTATTGATGGAGTTCCACGGTTCCTGTTGTGGACTCATTGTGTTTGACACAGTCACAGTGGGGCTGAGCTGTATCTGTCGTGCCGCCTGATAGCTCTGGTTTGAGTTTGGTTGATCTGACACCTGGACCACCTGTGGTACCTGCACAACTCCCCAAAATCATGTGTGCTGCTGTGGCCACAGAAAGCACCAGCCCAATATGTTACCACATTTTATGCATTCTGCACAAAATCTGTCACTGTTATGTATGAAGTGTTTTTGACAAGTTAACAGATAAAAGTATTTAATTCAGTGAAACAATTTTGATTATTATAATAATTTTTCATTGGTAAAAGTATTAATATTTATATTTGAAAGATACTTATTCAGATTCAGGCATCTAAGTAGAATTGTCTTTTTTTTTTTCCTTGAGACAGGGTTTTGCTGTATAGCCCAGGCTGGCCTTGAATTAAATAATGGCAGTCCTCCTGCTCAGCCTCCAAGTGCTGGGATTATGGGCGTGTGCTACCATTCCTGGCTTCAAGCACCTTTTTAGATTCTATCCATTTGTAGACCTTTTATCAATTTTATTAGTGAAAGAGCAAACAAAGCTATTAGATTAATGTGTTCCACTAGTGGATGTGCCACCTGGTGGGGCAGTCACATAGGTGCTACTGCTGGTGCAGATGGCGGCAAGGTGTTAATCAGCCAGATGTGCTGTGTCTCATTCCCTCAGTGGTTCTGGACTTGTGTAACTCCAAGATGACCCTGCCTGTTGAACAGTTGCTGTTTCCATCTGTTCTTCTTTCTTTCTCTTTACTGAAAAATGAAACTGCTTCTCTAAGATTAGTGGGGACGTGGTAGTGTTTTTTTTAAAGAAGTACTCAGGAGTGAGGGATGGGTTTCCCAGATCAAGATGAACGATGACCTGATATGCTCTGGGGATCCTCTCAGCTCACACCCAAAGCTGGTCTCACCTGAGGGGACCTGAGCTTCGTGACTTGGTATTCCTCTTGAGGGATAAATGATAGATAAAGCGGTCTCTGAAATGGGAAGTCTTCCCCCCCGTCCCCTGGTTACACCAGGGCTTGAATTTAGGGCCTCACATGATAGGCAAGTGCTTTACCATGGAGCTATGCCCCCAGTTCTTTTCATTTTTGTTTTGAGACAGGGTCTTGCTAAATTGTCCAGGCTGGCTTTAAACTTGTGATGGTCTTCTGGCCTCAGCCTTTCTAGTAGCTGAGATTACAAGCACGCATATCCTCTGCTGGCAAAGCCATTTTTAACATTTAAATGAAGTCT